CCTTAACTTTTTTGTCAAGTATACAATTGATTAACAAGAGGCCCATGGGTCACATCGCTCACCTGTTCACATTGGCTAGGTAAAAAAGCATTAATCATGACAGTATTGTGAATTTTAAACTGGAGGGGAAGGAATTTTAAACTACCTGATGATCCACCCATATAACTATAACAAATGAGTTTGCTATTTTTGAGCAGATGATTTTTCTCCTATTAATTCATTTGACCCTCCATTGTGACCGTGCCCTACCCCTATGGGCCCTCATTTGAAATAGTATGACTTTGCACTAACTGAGGATGTTTCCATATCAATAAGGTTAAACATGACGTTTTCATTGGACAAAAATCATTGATATTTCTAGGTAAAACTCATTCCCAATTGTAGTCCACACTATCAACCCCCCCCCCACTCCCGGTGACTTTAACAATCTTGAATTAACACTACTTGAGGATGCTTACATAAAAAAAAATAACCAATGAAGGCTTTATAGTTCTTGAAATAAATAGTTTTTTTTCTTAAATTCTAATGTTATCATTCTTAAATGTGGCTCACACTACCCATCCCCTACTTCCGGTCATGACTTGAACAAACTTGAATTATCACTTCCTGAAAATGTTTTCATTAAAATATGACAAATAATGACTTTCATGGTCCTGAAAAAAAGATTTAACGTAAAACCTACGTCGTATGACATCATAACTATTGAATGTAATTAGTCTGTGCTAGATCCATTATGACGTCATAATTGATTCAATGCCACGTTTTCCTGTACTTTACAGCTTCAATAGATATTTAAGAAAAGGCTGAATTTTGAAATTTAAAGATTTAAATTTAAAATCATGCCAAAAAGTTTTTACTTCAATATATATATTTTTAGATATAATGTTTATAAAGACAAATTATTTCTTGAAATAGAGAAACCTATAGGCACCTTTCATTTACTAGATCTTGACCTTAATTAAGATGGCAAATCCAAGACTGCATGTACAGTGTACTTTGTGTAATAAAATTCAATGTATACAACTTACTGAAATATTGCGTATGGTAAGTAATATCTTTTATGAAGGAATGCAACAATACTAAGAAATCTTCAGTTGCCAACTAAATAGTGTAATATCTTGATGAAATGTGTCTAAGTCAAAGATGTACGTGTTTTAGTACATGTGTACATTTTTTGCGATATCTATCATAAAATGATGTGCATTCATTTTCATATTTATTTGTTACTTATTCATATTCTTGGTGTTTGATTACAATTTCTCTATCAAATATGATCCTTTAAAAATGATATTGTTTGATAAACGTTAAGATTTTTAATCTGAAAGTAACCCCAAACAGTCATTTAATGATTAAATCCCGTTAGATGCAAAAAGGTCAAGTATATTAGCATCGATAAATAACCTATCTCTCATTAGTTGGAGGCGAAAGGTATATATATTTAAGCACTTCCCTTAATCATTTGGGTATGTTCTTCATCATATTAAAGATCGAAGACATTGTGACAAGACTTCTGAAAAATATTTACAAATGTAGGGTGGAAAATTGACTAAAAAAATATAGTTCATTTGCCTGCCTTTTTTTAAATGTGAACTTATTTCTTATGTCAATTGAATAAAGAAGGAATTATCCTTGAGAAATATTGCTTAATATTGTTCAGTTGATAAAGTCTATAAACGAAGATTTTTGAAGAAGTTTTTTGTGATTTCTCTTCTTCACAAGTACCTCTAAAAACAACTCAAAATGGGTAGTCAGGTGTTGTAATTACCTTTCAAAATTTCAAAGGCTGCACTTCATTTAAAAACAAGGAAATATATGATGAGCTTTTAACTGATTTCAACTGATTGATAAGCAAGTATTAATTTATCATTTTGAAAAGTTTGAAAATCTTGTGATAAAGACTTTTCCGACATAGGTATCTACCTTAAAAAATCTGATGAATTATTTCCTATGTAAAACTTTAATCGGCCATTTTGGCCCCGTCCTACCCCAGGGGGTCATGATTTGAACACACTTGAATCTACACTACCTGGGAATGTTTCCATCTAAGTTTCATTTTTCTTGACCCAGTTGGTCTTAAAGAAGATTTTTAAAGATTTGTCCTTCGCAGCTAGGTTAATCGATCATGACGTCACGGTGAATCCGCACAAATGAATCACGACGAATAAATAATTATTTACTTTTTCATACACTTTTACATACAATGATTTCTCCTAATCATTGTTAACATTAATTCATGTTTAATTTATCTTGTCTTTCAACACTATTTGAATGTAAAATAAAAGCCATCTTGATCTCGCTGTACTGACAGATATGACGTCATAGACTAGTTTGAAACGCAGATTCTCTGCACCTGAGACGCAGATCAAGCTATAATTGCAACTTGTAAATGTGAAATTTAAATTAAATAAGCGTGATCTGACTAAATTTGAGTCATATTTTTAAATGCATTAAAAAATATTTCATAGTTTTATTAAATTGATAACGAATATGTCTTTTATAGAGCCGCAGTCATTAACTTTTATACACAAACGTACTACAGTCACATGCACACACCCTCGAAATCCTCAAAAGTTCAACGATATCCGCTTTACCATAAAATATGATATTTTGTACACATGTAGCTATTGTCGTTACTATTTTGAAAAGTACTGGGAGCAAGTTGTTCGCTGTTGATTTTTTCTGTCATTTTACATTATTTCAATGCGTATAATGAAAATGCACGAAGTTTTAAAAGAAACGGCTATATTTTATATAATTCCAGTGAATTGGGAAGTTGCTCCCAGCACTTTTCGGGTTAAAAAAATTGTCTTAAAGAAAACATAATCTATTTCATGGTGAAAAATTATCCGTATATCTTTGAACTTTTACGATCTTTGTTTCGTTAATATTTTCATCTAATTTTAACCATGTCACGTGACATACAGCTGTAAAGTCGCTTTGAGCGAACTCGGTTAAGACGCCATACATACATATACACTTGTACAATTCCCATTAGATTCAAACTAATGCTACTGAAAAATATATTAAAAATAATAATACTATTGATTTTCTCGGAATATTTAAAGCCATATTTCCTATGGGCACCCTTAACCATTCTGCGCATTTATTCCTATAAAAAAAAAATTGATCATTAGTAGTTGTCCCGTCTTACCCCGGGCCGCGATCTGAACAGACGTGAATATACCTGAGAATATTTCCATATAAGTTTTATCTTTATTGGCCCAGTGTTTTTGAGAAAATTTTTAAAGAATTTTTAAATCTTTGATTGTTAGCTGTGGCCCAGCGCTACCAAATGGGGACCATTATTTGAATAAAACTTAATCTACACTAAATAATGATGTTTGCATATATGTTTCATCTTTCCTCACCGAATTGTTCTTGGGAAGAATTTTTTAAAGATTTCTCCCATATATTCTACGTAAATTTTGATCGTCAGTTGTGGTCCCGCGCTACGCATGAGTGTTATGATTTGATAAAAATTGAATCTACGCTACCTGGGGATGCTTCCTTATGAGATACATAATTTAAGCCTTCGACTCAGGTGAGCTAAAATCTACAGGTGCACGTAGTCGTACATCTTTAAAACGCAGCACAGTTAAGGTTACAGTAAGGAGGCGGGGCCTAATTTGTACGGGAAATGTTTACTATGACGTCACGCATAATATGAGGTCTTCAAAATACCATAAAATGATATTATTTGCTATTTCAAACAGCTGGAAAGCGGTATACTACTTACAAACTTACTATAACATGTAGTTTTGTCCTTTGTTAAATCCCACACAATAGTATTTAAACGATGCATCGATCGCAATGCACTTGTCAATGTGACGTCATCTCGCAAAAATGACGCAGTTTTTACACTGTCAGAGGCTGATCAAGTCACATTTTGTACAATGAAAAATGTCTTTTGTTTTCAAATAAAATATTATTTGCGGTAAAATAAAAAGCCATTAACTTGGATGCGATGTTTATTTTAGTATTTTATTCATAAACTGTACGTGCATTTATCAGACAGGCGATACTGTCGTGTGTTTGTATGCAGATTCATTGAAAAAGTAATGGAAGGGCCCTAATAAATCGATTTATTGCAAGGGCATACCCTCGATGTATCTTGTTAAAATTTTACACATAAACTCAAGAAGCATTAAAATATTTGAAAATTGCTGCGAACCTCTTGAAATCTTGCAAATAAATTAATTATATCTATATTTAATGTAGTTGACCAGCAAAATATTCAACCTGCCGTCCAACAAATTAAATTTTACCAATTAAAAAAGGGAATCTATATAGGTTCGCAGCACTTTTCACAAACTACGTATAGTGTTGAAAAGGATTATAAAATAAAAAGATTTTTAGCTTGGTTATGCCCTTGCAATATTGAAATTTATAGACGACCTCTAAACTGCAAGTATAATTGCCAAAGTCATGTGACGTCGACATCACATGACAAGTCTAAGTAAAAAATCTAAATGTCCCCAACATGTAGATTTAAACCACATTACATTTTTTTGATATCAATGAATTCCTAAAAAGATTCGCTCATCCTAATAAAGTATGTATTTTTTATCTTAAAAAATCGCCGATATTTCCATTCGTAACCTTAACTGTGCTGCGAAAAGTGCAAAAGACGAAGGCATATTGATGCGTTAATAATTTAATTGTTATATTAATTCATATGCCAAATTGTGCCTGGACAGTTTGATCTAGTTCAAAAGAAATGTAAAGAACTTCGGAGTTAAAGTTTTAATGTTATTAAATATGTTCCTTGTTTACAAAAGAAATCAATCCAATTGTAAAAGTAAGAAAGTAACAAGGTAAAAGAAAATTACTTATATAATTCATATGTTTTCTTTAAAAAAAATGTCACAATGTTTATGAAGACAGCTTTCGTATTCTTAAAAAGTTCAAAGCTTTCCATTATACAATCCTATTAAATTTGAATTAAAGGTTAAAGATTACAGAAAATAAAATAAAATAAAAAGAACAGTCAATGACGCAATTGCTCAAAATGAAGAATGAAAATAAAGCCTAAATAAATACAAAAATAAATAAACAAAATATTCAAATTACTATTTACACATGTTACAAAAACTGAAAAAATACAGTGTTAACACTGGAAAATCTCGTGATATGTTGATAAAGGGTATGGAGATAACGAACAATATTCAATCTCAAAGGCCATAAAACAATACCAAATAGTAGCAAAGCAAACACGGAACTCCAAAACATTAGAGGTGGGATCAGGTGTCAGGTGATAGAAGACGTAGTACGCATTGATATATAAAGCATCCAAACTTTTAATACCTAATCTAGAATAAGTCTCTTTATCTAATTAATGATCCAGTAGTGTTAATTCATATGTTTTTACGCCTGGTCTAGTATAAAACTTTGTATCAAATTACTGGTCCAGTTGTGCTAATTCACATTTTTTTCACGCCCGGTCTAGTATAAAACTCTGTATCTAATCACCGATCCAGTAGAGCTCAAACGGTAACCCTTGAAAAAAAGATATATTTTACAACAGAATCAAAAGAAGTGTAAGTTCAGTCTTTCAAAGAAAGAAATTTTACAAATAAGTATATATAAACTTACATTACAGTTTGATGTTTAAAAAAGAAATCAAGAATAAACCTAGCACCGAGTTAAATAATTTGCCTAGATTGTTTTAAATGATTCCTCTGGATTGCTTAAGTACAATCCTGCATATCTTAATAGGTTACACCTGAACTTCCATCAAAGCAGGAAAAAAAGTTGATACCTGATATCTGTACATGAATTTCTAAATGATGACATTCAGGATTCTATACAAGATGAAAATTCAGCGGCGAAGAGAGGCAAAGATCCTGGAGAAAATAAATATAATTAAAGCAACTTCCTATAAATCTAACCAAACTAACCAAAATAGAACATGTATTAGTCAAACGGGATATAGCAAAAGTTTTATTTTTTAAGATATCTGATGTGTTTCTTAGATTAGTTCTCTGGTACATATAGGAAATGATTGACAAGCACGCCTGACCTTCATTTATTTTCTTGACGAGTACTAAATTAATACATGAATTTTTTATAGAAGCTATGAGAACATAATTTGATCAGAAAAAAATTAATTTCTGTTTCGTCTTGTCAAATGTTGAACATTTGCTACGAGACTGGATGAATATTGAAATATTACAAAAGAATGGAGGTAAATGAGACGATGACATACCGCTGCTCTGAGACAGGATGTTTCTTAAATTCAAAAGTTTATATTTATAAAGTAAAATTTTGTTGTAAATATCATGGTTTGCAAATTTTCTAAATTACTATTATCTTCACATATAATATGAACTTACCAAGGGCTCGCGATTAAGTATATTACATGGCATAATAACAAAGCTACCCAATCTTTGAAAGGCCCTAATCGACAAATGTACCGCAAATAAAAATTATTAAACTGTCAGCTATAAACATATATTACTCAATAAGTCATTTAATACTATAGATTTATCAGATTAATGAAATGTGACAAACTTAGAACATTATATTCGGGAAAAAAATCATTGAAAATTCATTTATTTCATGATCAGAAGAAGAGTGTTACCCTGATATACCCCAATTCTTTTTATATACATATCTCATGTACATTCTGCGTGATCCTTGAAAAAATGAGGTTAACAGCTTCAATGGAAATACTTTACAAAATTAAGATCAATATTTTAAATTAGGCTAAGATGCTTTGTTCTGTCAAAATGACATTTAAAAAAAATACTTATATAGTAAGAAAAAATTGTAATCAATAACTGTATGATCAAAATTAAAATAATTTGAAATACATTTTATAAAGTGAACTAATTTACTTTTGATCCTGGAATTAAGTCAGAGCATTTGTAATAAAAAAAAAAATAAATTCAATAGACTGTTCGCTTACCAGTGAGCGGTTCGTTACTTTTGTATAAATATAGTTGAATAACCATAATGCTTTTTTTTCTTCCTGATGATCTGTATACGTATATGTAGTGAAGACTGAACATTAATGACAAATAAATTTGAAGTCTTTTCATTTTTTGGTGTCAACTGATAGCAAAAAGTCTTAAAGACAATTACCAATTACGAAGTTAAATAAAATTTGACGAAAATGTCTTTTAGTTATTTATCGATCACAAACTAGTGCTATCTTATTCCTTAAAAGATGAAAAATAGGAGATAAATGTAACTCCTCATAACAGATCATTGAATTTAAGGATAAATTTCATAACAAATTAATATACAGTATATTAATTTCAAAATAATCTTATGAGCGAATTGTTGAGAAGAAAAATTTGAATGAAACGCAATATAAAATGTTCGATCTGTTTCGTGTCTGCTAATTTTTTTTTTTCAACTTAAAATAGTTAGCTCGAGCACTAATTAGCTAAGAAACATGAAATTTACTGACTATTGATTAGCAAAACAAAAAAAATTAAAAATTCTAAAACAAATGAAAAAATTCGAATAAAATGGTGTTAAAAACTTTAATTATGACATTGTAGCCTTATAACACTTATCACTGATTAATGGTTGGAGATTAAGGAGTTCTTCAACAGTGGGGGTGATAACGCTTTTCATTCAGCCATCAAAGAATTGAGTTTCTTTTAGAAAAATAAAGGAACCAAGGTTTACAATATTTAAAAATGTGCACCATAAACAGAAGCATATTCTTAGATAAAAGTCTACAAGTGTACAGTATTGGGTACATAACTCAAACAAAAATTTGATGCACGGATTAATATATATTTTTTGACGGATTTTGATTTGAAATGACACAGATAATAAATCCCTGAAATATACAGAAATCGTAGGTTTACCTTGATGCTTACATATGAGACTTTATTTTGCTTTCTTTATAATTATATGCAAAACTTTGCACATTTTTTGAACCCTCGTGACAAAATCTCACAAAATTCCCCAAATATAGATGATAAACATTATTCAGGTTACCAATTAAAATGTAAATCTATGAGAAATATAGCTGATTTCCTAAAAATAAAGTTTGTGTTACATTGTATTTATACTTAAATGATAATTATACCATCAAAAGGACCAGAATGGTTGCATCAACATCTATACAAAAAAGGTAGTATTCATCGCAAAGAAGGTCAGAAGAATATAGGGATCATTACCCCAGTCCAATTCTAATCCCCATAAAGACGATTTTCGGACGTTCGGGAGTATTCCTAACTAAAAGGGTCAGAAAAATATACCATTAGCCCAGTCCAACTTGAAATCCTTATAAAGAAGATTTCCGGACATTGTATGACCACAGACAACAACAGTTGTGAGATGAGGATTTTTCGACCCGGGCCAAATGAAGTCGAGTCAGTAGACACCTACATGGCAGCTGTGTTAAACAACCCGAATTCAAAATAATATAAAGTACTTCACCAAGAAATGACAGATAGATTATCGAACTGGTATTTAAAGAGAACTCACATAAGTTTCCAGAGTGTGACAGTGCACTTGACTTGAATCGGCATAGGAAGATAAACGAGACTTGGCATGGATCATTTCTGTCTGCTGTAAGAAGTGCCGCTATAGCAATCACCAACAAATGCTTTACAAAGAGGAAGATTTGGAATGACACAGCCAAATGTGGCCATGGTTGTCGATCACCTCGTTACCAGTCTTACTAGAGATGAAATGCTTAACGAAGAGGAATATCTGGAATGGCATAGACAAATTGTCGATCACCTGGTTACCAGTCACTAAAGAGGGTATGTATGGTACGCTTCTTCGTCCAAATTTTGAACCAGCATCATTCGCCAACATGCAACAAACCTACAGCAACAATGAAGTAAATGACAACAGTGTGAAGAAGGCAGAATATTCGAAAACTTAATAAAAATGTGAACCTTCTGATACCGCAATGAGAACAGAGGGAGATATTTGGTATAACAATGCCACCTTCACTGCCTTTGAAAACGCCCATTCCAAGCTGCCACCACGGTTACTTATACAGTATGTGAAAATGTAACTCGAGGAACAATGTTCTAGAAGTGTTCTGTTAGAATAAACTATGCATGAAAGGCACACACCTACGAAGCAAAGGAAAAAAACGTTACTTGCCCAGCACACAAAGACTGCACTGCAACCGTTCCTCCAGAGCCCACCATTGGAGATGAGTAGAGATGGGCTGCAAACTCTCTGTGGGTGATACAAATTGATGGCCTTGCACCCGTCATTTTACATTTACCAGTAATTAAGATAGTGCCACTGCGTCTGGCGCATCTAAAAAGAAAAACAAGGACGTGACTGTAAACATTAAAGACGCTTCTCTTCTTTGACTGTCTATGAAAACAGACTACTAAGGCTCCATTCAGCAGTCAAATATTTCCAGGAAGAACCAAAGCCATATGAAAACCCATGTAGAGAAGATTTGCCTTGGACCTGAAGCTTCGATGCAGGCGAAGTCCGAGAATTGTCACATACACTACTTAAGAGACTTACTTATGTGGGCTTTTTCCATTGCTGTTGGTTCTTTCAAAAAGTGCTACCAAGGACATTGCAGAAAACCCTGTCAACTATTTCCTATCTTCGATAAGCAATAAGTGGAAATCTACAGTCTTAACAAACAAGACAGAAAAACAGACTGTTAAAAGAATATATAAAATTTACTTTAGGATCTTTTAAAGATATATACGCCGTATAAGTGTTTTATTTAAAAAAAAATAAATATATGTCGTTTCTCATCAAGTTATATAAGTTATATACTTTCTGCAAATAAGACAATCCGTCCCATCACTTTTAAAAGTTTTGAAATATTGTTTGGTAAAAACTATTTTCTCTCCGAGTCGAATATTAAATCACATCTTATTGAAATATTCATGATCACGTGATCTCACATGCTCACAGCAAACAATGGTCCATTCTCGTGAATGAGTCGAAAAGCATGATGATCTACTACGTTTTTTTACTACAAACAAGTAGGTAAGGGAAATTTACGATGAGCTTTTAAAGGACTGCTGGAGAGCTAATTTACAATTTTTTGAAACGTGTTTGAGAACAATCCTAAGCATAGAAACTAATTGAGAATTCATATGCTCATATAAACAAACAAATTCAGTATTTCTTGTTAAAAGTTCTTTGAAATACCGCTCACAAAGTCTCCACCAGTAAAATAGACCCCAATTTATTGTAATAATGATATTGTTTTTTTGTGATAATTCCGTTTTTAAAATAATAGTTTTAGTAAAGTTTATAATTTAGTTGAGCCCAAAAGTACAAAATCAAAAATTACATTTTTACACAAAGTTTCCAAAAGTGAGAGTGAATTACCGACAAACTCACGCACGTCTCATCTTTGTCAATTCCTCTCACATTTCATGAATGAACCAATGGAACAAGTTTAAAGAAGTATTTGTTTATAGAAAGCTCAAGGACACTAATTTGTAACACAGAAAACAATTTGAGTAAGCATAACAAATCAAAGAAACACCAGTTTAAGATCTGACCATAAACCTTATAACAATTATGAGCTAACATCATCGGTACCGTGGGACTGAGAGAGATGTCAAGTTTGAAAAATTACAAACATGTGCAGCAGTGTCCTTTCTGAAGATAAAATAAAACAATTAATTTTCAATTACAAATTCCCAGTCCATAAGTTCGTATCTTTAAACACTACCTAAACCATAAGTACATCTAAGAAACTTACAAATTGTGTTTATCAAAAATGTACCTTCATACACATGTATATATCATTTTAAACTCGATATATTCCTAAATTTGCCATGTAACTGATTGAATTAGTTGTTGCTCAGTTATTTGTTACTAGAAAATTAAAGTTTATGCATTTATAAAAAAAAAAACAAAGAAAACAAATTTAGATGCACTTTTTTTTAAAATTACCTCTATATTAATTCTCATGTGCGTTGATCGTTAAATTGTTAAATCGAAATTATACACGTTGTAAACATTGTCAATACGTGAGCACACCCCCTCCCCCCCACCCCACCCTCCCCACACACCCCTCAGAGTTGGTTGCGTTTTGTACCGAGGAATAGTCACGTGAAATTATCTTTTCACTGACAGTACAGCACGGGGAAACTGTTAACAACGGACCTGCATAATAGAGTGGGGAAAACTCTTATTTTTATCATTATCAATCATTTGTATGTAAATGTGATTAGTCGATAATAATGTACATAATGTATTAAGCGTGTAAATGCTTGGAAAAGTCTTTCCGAGAGCGATTTAAAAAAACAGCTTTTTTGAAAAAAAATATGTAGTATATTTTATGTAGTAAACCATAAATGCATTAATTGCAACTCATTGAGCTGATTGGTTGATTTGTCAGTCATGCTGGTTCTTCACTAAACAGAGGTCAAGAAAATAGTTTCCTCGACCTGATAATTCTCGCGATGTTTTTCCCGCGCACATGCGCAGATCTAGCATAAACGTCCATCGTTCATAAATATGCATTAGAATATCGTGTTGTTTTTACCGACCAGTACTTTGTTAATACCGAATAATATTTCGTCGAATTTGAAAGAATGCTTCATTTTTTATAGCTTATCATGCTTCAGAAATTGTTGTTCTGTTAAAACTGTTCAAAAATACTGTTTAATACGGCATACATATCTTTAAGTAATGTTGAAAGAATAGAAAAATCATAATTGTAAATGAAAATCTGAATCTATGGATAAGATATATCTAAAACCAAATCAATATGCATTACAAGTAGTAAAAATTTTGGAAATAGAAAACATAAAGTTGTGCACTCACTAAATAGGGGTTATGGACGCTCAATATTCGAACTTTATGATTTTGTGGGTACTCCGGTTGTATAAAGAAATGGAATGGTCCATCATCCAAATCAGCAACAGCATCGACAAAATTACTTAAAATAAAACAAAACCTGTTAAAATGTAAATTTCATAGCAAATACTACAAATCTAAAAGATTTGTCGTAAGTTTTTAAATAAAAAATCTAAAGACACTTACTGTAAATAACCAAATTAAAAAATGATGTTGTGAGATTGTTACGAAGTGTGTGTGTGTTGGGGGGGGGGGGTAGGCTGTGAACTTAATTAAGATACATGTTAATACATAATTTGTGAACTATATTACAAATAATAAGTGTTGCTTTATTTTATCATGCACTTATTCTAATTTGGAGATGTAAATGGATTAAAATTCTATATGTAAAATGTGAAATTTTCTTATACGAGAGAGACTGTGCATGTAAATATGTTTTATTTTTTATCATTTGCCTCATTCAATTTTTTTTAATTAATTATTTAGTTTTCCTTTCCTGACTGTTGAAAACAACAAAGGTTACAGAGGTGAGTGATAGCAATACGGGTATACGGGTGTCGAAAATCTTCGTTGATGACCAGATTCCATGCTGTGTTGTATATCCGCCATTATTGAAATTTTAAAGGGAAGAATACTCCTGAAATCAAAGATATTGTAATCAAAATGACAGTTACCATACTTTATTTGGTCTCACACAAGGAAATAATTTTACTATTAATTTTACTATATGTTACTATATAGCTTTAATTAAATCTACAAAACTCTCAGCAAATAATTCATGTAAAAGAAAATAATGATTAATGCTGGGACAAAATTTGACATCAGAAAAAATGCGCCTTATGCGGCCTTGACAATCAGCCTATACGCCATCAAGGAAGTTTCACCACGCACATCTAGAATAGTCCCCTTCAATTCACTGGTCCATTTTCGCTCAAGATACATGACATTTGTAGTACATTAGTCCAAAATAAATACTGTAGGCCTAAAAGAAATGGCCAAAAATGAAAAAGAAAAAAGAAATTGTCTCTCTCTATTTAAGTCCATTTTGATTAAATATTTCCTTGTTAAAGACCTATAAAGGGATATTCAAACATGAATAAATTTTACAAACATTTATCAGGTCTATCCTCTCTCTTGGTATTTCTATGCGAAAGTGGCACGGCAAGGATGACCATAACAGTGTTCTTCTAAACATTGTAAGTCCAAGGAAGCAAATGTCAATCAATTTGGTATTGACAAAGAACGATAACATAACTTTAAATAGAGATATATTTAAAAGAATTCAGACAGGCAAATAGATAACAGGTTAGATTAAAGGTATCATACGGCAAAGCTAAACCAGAACCATTCAAATATGAATTTTAATTGACTTACCCGGCTTCTACTTAACAAAACACGAGGAAGAGAATGGTTGATGAAAAAAAAAAAAAAAAAATTATCTCTGGTCATTTTCACAGTCTCTGAGATACAAGATACATATCTATGAAACAAACACAAAAACTGATAAAAGAGAACTGAGATCTGGTCTAAAGCATTCACTATTGGATGAACTTAAGATGTAGGAGGAAAATTCATTCTTTCAATTTAATAAATCTTTGCTTTACATTTTTTACCAAATAGACTTAGATTAGAGTAAATGGCACTTGATCCCACCTCTGATGTTTGATGTTGATGATTGCGCTGCTCCTATTTTGTATCGTTTTATGAACTTTGATATTGAATACTGTTCGTTATCTCCATATCTTTAACAAAAACCTCATATAGCAAGCAAGACCTTAAAATATGCATGAATAAAATCAAATATAATGAAATATATCAAATTCTTACCTGCATCAGTCCTTTTTAAATGCCACAAATGTTGTTAGCAACAATATAGTAAAGGTAGTATGCTGAATGCTAAAAAAAATGTTAGGGATGTTATTTAATTATTATTTAAATGCATCTCTAAATGCTTCCGTTTATTTAATATATTTTTGACAGAACGAAATTATACATTATTTTTAATAACACATAGGTAAACATCTTACCTTTGTGAAAAAAAAAACTCGTTTATGTGATTCAGGCTTTTCTTTTATAACTACTTTGGAAAAAAAGTCGCGACGAAGCAAATAATATAAAGATGCGGATTCCTTTTATATACAGTAATCGACATAGTTGGTCATCTCTCTCTCTCTCTCTCTCTCTCTCTCTCTCTCTCTCTCTCTCTCTCTCTCTTTATGTTTTTCTCTCTGTCCAGCATTGACATAATTTTCGGGATTTCCTTTTTAGATTTTCTTTCTCATTCTTACCTGGCACACCCAATTAAAAACAAATGACATCATTTTCAGTACTTCTTTCTTCATTTAATTCACGTGCGCTTGCATTCATTAACATATTGATATACGTACAATGAAAAAAAAAAATGTCACTCAAAATTCACGGACTACTGTTTTTACTCTAGAATACACAATGTTCAAGAAGCAAACAAATTTCTTATTCGTGATAAAAGTCGCTCATATACCTTTGTTTTTAGAGCATTACAATTCATATATACTGAGTGACATTAGATTACACAAGAAAACACTGTAATGTGATAAGATGTATAGCTCTAATACTTTCTGATCTTTGCATGCCTTTTAAAGATATGAATACATTACACTGAGGAAGGGTGTAAACAGAATAAATGAGGGGTTTTGCAATTTTATAATATTTCTTACTTTCCTAATTGAAATGGTTTTTCGTAATAAATTGCCTTAATGTCAATAGGATTGGCATGAATGGAGATTTTACAGAGATATGTTGGAATTGAGTGTGATCCCCATTAAGTATCTTCTGTGTTTCTTTTTTGGCCGTGGACGTGTTTTAACTCATGGCTCCTTATTCCAATCAAAGTTCATTTTGAACGTGTTGGATTGAGTTTCTGAATGCACTGCGTTTGAAAAGCTCTTTTGGATTAATACAGAATTACAGAAAGATGTGTTCACGTTAATAATTTCCAAGAAACAGATTTATAAATATTCAAATATTCAAGGACAATTTCCTTTTAATAGATTTGAGTGGATACACAAAATTACCCACCCACCCACCCCCTGGAATATTTCAGCAATCCAGAAAAAAAAATTACGCCCCCCTTAATTTTAATGATTTCAGATTAATAAATTAGTATATAAAAAAAGACTTGTCAGTTCATTTTTTTTAACCTGAATAGGACTTTATATTACACAAGTAATTTGCCTAGATACACTGTAACACTGCTTAGTTTTCAAATACTGTTTCTAACCGATGAACAGATGCTTTCATATCTGATGAACATTAATAATACAGACCCTAAACCGTGCTACTACACCTCAGAAACGAACCGTACCGTTCCGTGCACAAAGCGTACCGTACCGTGAACAAAGCGAACCGTTCCGTTCTCAAAGCATACCGTACCGTCCACAAAGCGAACCGTTCCGTGTACAAAGCGTACCGTACCGTGCACAAAGCGAACCGTTCCGTGCACAAAGCGTACCGTACCGTACACAAAGCGTACCGTTCCGTGCAAGAAACGAACCGTACCGTTCTTTGGTTAATTATGCAAACCACGCCCCTAATGATTTTCGAACCGTGCTTTGACCAAATAAGTCATTTTGGTTTATTTCTCTCAATAGCGCCTGTGAAAGAGGACGGAGGTTATGTCTGGCTATTTGAAACACCATTATCAAGTAACAAGCATCTGGGCTTTCAACTGTGAAAATTCTAAACAACTAGACAGAGTTTACATTGATTACTTATTTGCTATAAATTAGATCAACTCGTTGTGTTTGTGATCAAAGGTACAGTACAGGCCACGAGTTTTTCCCGCAAAACACGGGCACCGTGAACCTTGAACTCGATGTCGGCATCTTTGAAGTCAGCGATTGTGGACACCGTGTAACACGGTATATAACAGTTCCCCATTACGGAACTGATAATAAATATTTTCATTTTCTTTATTTAAGAATCAACTTTTTAAAAAAAATGTTTGTTGTACTTAAATATTCGTAATTTAACTATACAGATGTTTAAACTAATTCCCTGGTTGTCTTGACTTCATTTCGATTTTAATTTCGCCCATTTCAATTGCTGAATCAGATACACGATCGTTTTTGCCGTAAGTATGCATTCATATGTAGTTCATATCAGATGCCTGATTTTCCTAATTAATTATTTTGTAAGAAATTTAAAACATATAATTATGAATTGTCTGTCAAGAGTGAAATAAAAAAATGTATTAGACTCATATATTAATTAATTCTGCTCAGATAATTATACTCGGCGAATCACTGATGCAGTTAGACTTACACTGAAAATCGGCAATTCTGTCTAATATGGATTTAAATATTACATGCGGTAAACAGGGACTTCAGATTTCTACTGAACGGATATAATCTGACTAATAAAAGTCATAGTCTACAGGATACATGCTTATTTGTGTCTGAAAAAAGGATAACTTACAAAATAAAATGAAAATAAAAAATACTGTAACAATGATTTTTCTCGATCCTCTTTCAAGCCACATTATGTTTGTTACCCCCCCCCCCTTTCTAGAAGGCGATACTAATTAGCTAGTTAAAACTCATCAAAAGTCTGCGAATTTATGTGACGCTATAATGATAATTAATGGATACACCCTTATCTAATTGTGTCTGATAAGGGACATTTTAGGAAGTAGATGAGTTTCGCTGAATGTCAGTTGAGTGAGTTTTAAAAATGCATGTGCACTTGATGTAGTCAAAGCTCAATAATTTGAAAGGTGTGTTAAATACACGGCACCCCGACCTATTGACTGTGACCCAATATTTTTCAAAAGATGTGAACTCTGAACTGACCATCAGAATGTTTCAAATCAAAAGAGAAATTCTTTCAGACTTTCAAGATCACCTAGCATCATGCGATTTTGATTGACAGGTGATGCACAAGGATTTCCTGCGTACAGCATGTATGTGCAGAGAACGCATGCATTGCGCAATAGTTGTAAATAGGTTGAGTTTGAACCAAAGTTGTGGAAATTAAATAGCATCTGTGACTTTGGCGATGTAAATAAAACCAAGAATGAGAAAAATACAAGGTATTGTTTTGTTTTTGTTTTTTTTATACAGATTATGTAACGGGGTTGCATCTCTCCCTCTTTCTCTCTCTCTTACACGACATAGTATTTACACATTTTACAAAAAAAGAATAACTTATCAAAATGAAGAAAAACTTATTTAAATAATTACTTAGACTGAAAGGATTTTTAAAAACATAATATTATTTTATAAAAAGAAATGTTATCTTCACGCGAAATGCGATCGGAAGTCATTTTTATTGATTCCGAGTTTCTGCTTCTGAATTTCGTATCTAAATTCAGAGTAATTACAGATTTTCAGATTACGCAGCACGGTTAAGGTTACAAAAAGGAGGCGGAGCCTAATTTGTACGGGAAAACTTGACTATGACATCATACACAATATACGTCATACAACATTTCTTTAAAATACCACAAAATGAGTTCATCTGATAATTTAACCAGTAAGACATCATCAAACTACATAAAAACTTACTACAGCGTGTTGTTTTGTCTTTAGTTAATCCCGCATAACAAGTTATAAACAAGTCACTGATCGCAACACACTTGTCAATATGACGTCATTTCTTACAACGTGACGTAGTTTGTATGCAGTGAGAGACAGATCAAGTAATATTTTCTCAACAAAATATGTATTTTCTAATCAAATAAAATATTATTTACATATATTCTATGGGCCAATAACTTGAATTTAATGTCTTCTTCACTATTTTATTAATATATTTACTGTACAGTACGCATTTAATTGACACTGCCGTGTATTTGAAGGCAAGTACATCGGAGGGTAATGTGGGGGGTCTTAATAAATTGATCTAGTGCAAGGGCATACACTCTATGGATCAAAGTAAGCTTTTACATTTCAACTATAGAACCATTAAGGTATCTGAAAAGTGCTGCGATCCTGATGAAATCTTTAAAACAATTTAATTATATCGATATTTCATGCCGCTGACCAGCAAAAAATATAGCATTCGGTCATACAGGTATAATTTTAACAATGAAATAGCAGAATTTAGACAGGATCGCAGCACTTTTTAAAAACTACAATGCGTGTTGAAAATATTTATATACTAAACTTGGAAATATAACTTGGTTATGCCCTTGCACTAGTGATATTTATATGTAACATCAATACTTCAAGTCAATGTACTAAAATCACATGACTGCCGCATCACGTGACTAGTCTAAATATAAAATATAATCGTCCTCGATAAGTAGTTGTTAATCATAATTACAATTATCCGATATAAATAATGTACTAAAAATAATCGCCATCCCGATTACGAATACATTTTTAAATACAAATTTTAGTTGATATTTCCATTGCGCACCTTAACTGTACTGCGTAAATAAAGATTTACTTAAGAAAAAAGAAAAAAAAAAAAAAACAAGTATTCTATGCCCTGTAAATTCTTTACAATTATTTTTCTTCAACATTTTTAATTAATAAATTTATTTTTTGTTACTGATATTTCTCTTCTAAGGCAGACATTTAAACGATAGATCAAACAATTTTAAAAATGAGCAACAATCTACATTTCTTATTACTTAGATTAAAAATAAAAGCACGAATAGTCATATTTTTTTCTATAGATCAATCAATTGAAAATAATTTATATACGTGTATAGTGTTAAAGAACAAGTATATATTTAATTCTGTTAAAGCTTTATTCTAGAATGAAAAATTATTATATACTTGTGTGTCTTTTTTCTATTTTAGACACAGCCTCGGCATACGTAAAATTAAAAATACGTACGGAAATATTTACCTTCTATATATCAATATATTTACAAATGCCAAAAAGATCAGTGGGACGATGTTTTCCCACAAGGCTATGATAAATACAATAGCATACATGTACATGTAATAAAACATTTGAACTTCCCTAATAAATAGAAACTCATTAATACTTCAATTTATATGAATAATAAATAAATTACATTCTTTAATAACAGAAATAAAATTGTACACGTGCATAACGATCTTCAAAATTCGTTTAAAATGGACTATTTTTAGCAGCCAATCAATGACCAAAGCTAACAGGCTCCGCCCACTTCATTTGCATACCGTTTCCCAAAGCGTACCGTTCACAAAACGAACCGTTCCGTGCAAGAAACGAAACGTACCGTGCACAAAGCGTACCGTTCCGTGCATAAAGCGAACCGTACCGTGCACAAAGCGTACCGTTCCGTGCACAAAGCGAACCGTTCCGTGAACAAAGCGTACCGTACCGTGAACAAAGCGAACCGTTCCCTGAACAAAGCGTACCGAACCGTACCGTGCAAGTGGTGTAGTAGCACGGTTTAGGGTCTGTACCAATACCAGGAATTGTGAATAATTTGAAAAGTCGTGTTTCTTGAATGAAGTTTCATTTGGCTGAAAACTTTATTTTCATTACCAGTAATAATACGATATTTCTATTCGTGCATAATCCAATTCAGCACATCAAAAATACCGTTTGCACATCGTTTATCTTTAATTTTTATATATGTACAATTTTAAATTGTGTACGTTTCCATGAATAGAGACACAATCTAGTAACGTTAACGTTATAATTCCTTTAACTTCCAATTTATGATACGTCAATGAAGACTGAGCGATGAGTGAATGCTGAACACACGGTGAGCCAACGCTGAATGAATGATTAACACACGCTAAAAACGGTGAGCGAACGCTGAATGAATGGTGAGCACACGCTAAAAACGGTGAGCCAACACTGAATGAATGGTGAACACACGCTAAAAACGGTGAGCCAACACTGAATGAATGGTGAACACACGCTAAAAACGGTGAGCGAACGCTGAATGAATGGTGAACACACGCTAAAAACGGTGAGCGAACGCTGAATGAATGGTGAACACACGCTAAAAACGGTGAGCGAACGCTGAATGAATGGTGAACACACGCTAAAAACGGTGAGCGAACGCTGAATGAATGGTGAACACACGGTAAGCGAACACTGAATGAATGGTGAACACACGCTAAAAACGGTGAGCGAACGCTGAATGAATGGTGAACACACGCTACAAACGGTGAGCGAACGCTGAATGAATGGTGAACACACGCTAAAAACGGTGAGCCAACACTGAATGAATGGTGAACACACGCTAAAAACGGTGAACGAACGCTGAATGAATGGTAAACACACGCTAAAAACGGTGAGCGAACGCTGAATGAATGGTGAACACACGCTAAAAACGGTGAGCGAACGCTGAATGAATGGTGAACACACGGTGAGCGAACGCTGAATGAATGGTGAACACACGCTAAAAACGGTGAGCGAAGTAGAACGTTTCAGGAACTTTAAGGTTATTTCAATCGTGCATTTTTTCAGGATTTTGGAAATTTTTTTGTAATTGTCTCATTATAAAGGATGTCTATTAGAGTGCCTGGGAAAACTTGAATATAATTTCTTTCATGTAAGATCAAAATCTTGGCGAAAACGTCCTGGCTGCTCGATATATTAGTACAATTATAACTTTGTTATTAGTCATCACGCTTTTTTAAATTAAAACCTTTATACTGTCTCTTAAAGTTTTAGTTACCAGCTTGAAGGACGCATTCTCATCTAGATAAACGAACGAACAAAAATCTTGAGAAGGAATGAAATTTAAATAGATAAAGGTCATTATATATCAGAGTTTTTGGAGGGCATATGTCAGCGTTCGTATGAAGTGCATTGTTTGCACTGGCAAAATTATAGAGAGGTACACGTGCAAAAAAGCCTTGTTTTCCATAGGAATGTGCATAATGGGAAGGGTTCGGCCTCTACGCTAAGCTGCATGAACAATTATATATTTTTTAAAAATCACATTTATTGCAGGGATATAGCATTTTCTCCCATCAATGGTCTTTTCGTCATATGTATCACGGGGTTAAGATATTCTTATCGGATACAAGTACTGTGGTCAAATTGACTCATTCATGTTCAATATTAATGATACTTAGAAGATCCCTTTCAGTTTGCTTAGCAATACCTAAGTAATGTCCTTGATTGTTAAGACAAATAGTATTATAACACTGCTGGACGAAGCTTTATATAACTGTTGGTTTTCTGGATGAGTATTCATGAATATATCAAAAAAAGAAAACAGCTACACACAAACGCCGCAGAGTAGAAACATATACTGTAAACCAACTTTTATTCGCGTGCGAGAAATTTTCGCGAAGTTCGCGAGGGCCTCGCTATCGCGAATATTTCTTGCCGCGAAGCGGTTCTTAAAGTGTATTTGTCTATTAACTACAGATCCAAAAAGGCTTGATCGTGAAAATTTATCGTCGCGAACAAGTTCATCCCTAGTAAATCGCGAAATAAAGTCGTCGCGAATAAAAGTTGGTTTACAGTAGTAAATTTTAGATAATGTATTCGTTTCACTAGCTTCCTTGCCTTTTAACGAAAATTAAACTTCACCTCGGATACCTATCAGAGCTTTTAACTTCATTAAACTCCAAAGATATGTCCTATATATGAGATCTGTGAGGATGCACAATTAATTTAGTTGAAAACAATTATTCTACCTGATGTTTCCAGTGCTGTTGTTGAGGTTGTAGTGAGATCACAATCCATTTCTTCCAATGAGAGGTCCCGTAGCAATACTCCAATAAAATAACTGGGATATGAACAGCTCGGTTCATCGAAAAGTTTCAATGTCAAATTTCTTGATTTGGAAAACTTAATAAAATCGGCCATGATGCAGTCGCAATGCAGAGGATTGTAATCTATTGATCTGTTACAGATAAAAATACCATGATTATGTTTGGAACAGATTGTATACCCCCATCAACTCAGGTATCTGGATAAAAAGATTGAATAACCTTAAAACCAATTTAAAAATTTTAAAAGAAAAACATTTCCTTACTTTAAAACTATTTTTAATTAATTACAAAAAACATTCCTTTGTGAGCTTAAAAATCTTAAGTTATGAATTATATCATTCATTTAATATACATATAAAAAAAAGATACATAATAAAAATATGTACAGCATACTTACAGTGTCTGTAAATTCTGCAATCCCATGAAAACAGATTTGTCTAATACAGTTATGAAATTGTTGTTGAGGTACCTACATAAATATAAGATGTATATATTTAAATTTATCATTTCATAAGATCTAGGTCAATACAATGGATTTGTCAGCAATACAATTTATCAAATACTGACTGACGTTTTTCATACTAATTGTTAGGCCATTATTTACACACTAAATTGTAAACAAATTGTTCCTTTATTTCCAACTCATGACAAGGAGCACACGGTGGTAATGACCGGTTGGCAGGGGATACTCACTCGTCCATGACACCTGAACACACCTGTGATGTTTTAGCGTTCCGTTTTGCTCTGCCCTTTTTTATATTGTTGAATGGTGTTTTGAGCTTAAATACTGTTCGTTATCTCCATATATTTATGTACTATGATATAACTGAAATTAAGTAAAAAACAGCTTTTGATAAGAATTTTTACTTAAAAGATCTTTTTGAATTTGGAAAATTGTGTCATAAAAGATTTTTATTTTGTGACAGTTCAGCAGGGGATGCTCCATGGCATCTGATCCTACCTCTGATGTTTCGGAGGTTCGTGTTTGCTCTGCCTTTATTGACTTTGAGGCTGAATACTTTCGATATCTTCATATCCCCACCCAACTGTATTCGACGACGTTTTGTAAATTAACAATTATTATGGTATTTTCCGTTCCCTCGTCGGGGTGTATTGTCTTGGCGGAGGGGGGGGGGGGTGTAGAAATGGGAGATGTCACAGGGTCTGACACCTCTGTTTAAGAAATTTTATTTAAGTAAATTACAGAATTGTTTTATTTGCATTTCCATGTATATTTTACATTTACTTTTATATCATATGACGATGACTGTTATTGAAACTGTGTTGAAATCTGAATCTGTGCATTTACATGTAGATTTCAATATTGATTAAATAAATTATAATTGGTGCTTTTGTTTGTCTTTGTCATAATCGTAAAATAACGGGAAAATCCGTCGTCAATTCATTGTATAAGTAATGGATTAACAACTGGTAAGCATTTAACTAAGTGATAAATTGTATTTGCTGACAAGGTCGTTTTATTGACCATGGAACTTAAGAAATGATGACTAAAAGCGAAGCTGCTGATATTCTTGTTTTATCAACATGCTTGTTAATAATTTTCCTCGTTTTAGAAATTTAGAAATTGTTCATACGTAGAGCATGCACTTGTGTATCGAATCAACTGAGATATATACACTCCGTATGCTGGTGATGAAGGTATATTGCTGCATAAGTAAGAGAAGTTGTCGATAGAAAAGTTAAAGCATCACGATTATCTTGGTTGTTAGACTTTTTCAGACAAAAAATATTTAAATATGAAACAGATGTGTCAGACTCTGTGGTATCTTTTATCTCAAGCTCTCCTGGATATATCGTATCGACGTAGGAATTGAAATTACCACTGTTAATTGACAATACGCCGTCGATCTATCTGAAGGCCGAGTTGAATGCCACAGCAAGTATTTTCTTCTTTTCACGCATAAGATTTTGCAGTAATTCTGCTTCAAATGAATACAAAAATAGGTCTGCTAATAATGGAGGGCAATTGGTACCCATGGGTATTCCAATAGATTGTTGGAATACCTGGTCTCCAAAGAACACATAGATATTGTCAATCAAAAACAAAAGCATATTCTTGATGTCAACTTCAGAGTACTTGTGTTTACAATCAGAATCCTTTTTAACAAATAATTTAGCAAATAACAAATGATCAGATAAGTAATTTACGAGTACCATTTTTATTGAAGAAGCAGCTGTCAATGATATCAAAAAGCCAGGATTTTAATTGATCGTTGAGAATTGTTGTATTTAAAGTTGAAAAGTAGTAAGTTTTTAAGCTGTTAATTTTGGTTAAATCTTGTGATTTTAAATTGTTCAAAAGTTCTTTGGGATTTTTTAACATACACATCTAATTCACACCACTTCTTGAATATTTAGTTGCACATTACTCTTGAAGTTTTTCCTTCACTACTGTCAATATCTTAGTGAGGAGTAGCGAAAGAGGCCTGTTTGAACATTTACTAGAAACCGCAATGTATCTTTGTTTGTAAGGATTCTTATGAAGTTTTGGAACCCAATATAATAATGTACAGGGAGTTGTTACATGTATGTAAAATTTCATTGCAAAAGCTGAAAGGGTTCTCGAGATATCGCGCGGAAATGAAAGTGTTATAACAGACAGAATTTGCAAATTTGTGACCTTTTGACCTCAAAATCAATAGGCTTCTTTTTCAATCCATAGGGAGTTGATATGCAAGATTTCATTGCAAAAGCTCCAAGGGTTCTCGAGATATCGTGTGAAAATGAAAGCGTTACAGACAGACAGAATGACGGACAGACAGACCCAAGTTACGGTAATATCCCCCACTTTTCAAGCGGGGGACAAAAACATGAATCTACACTACTTAAGGATGCTTAAGGATGCTTCCATATAAATATGACTATAATTATGGCTTTGTTGTGTTTGGGAGGAAGACTTTTTAAAGATTTTCCGAACATATTCCTTTGTAAAACTTTGATTGTCCATTTGAATCTTGAACATTACCTTAGACATTTCCCCAGAAGTTTCAACTTTTTTGGCAAAGTAGTTCAAATTCATTTTGGCTCTGTGAAAAATTGAAAATATTCAAAACTGACGTTTGATTCTGAAATTTTTTTTCCTTAGAAAGGGAAATATGAGTATAAGTAGGATTACCACTTGGAGATTCAAATCTAGGTTCTTCTAAATTTGATGCTTCTTTTTTTTACAATGAATATTTACTATTTGCAGCTACAGTTAAAATTGCACAGAAGAAAAAAAATGCTAAACAAGGACTTTTGGTTTACTGCCATGATGGGCTATAAAATGGCTTTCAAGTACAAAGAAGCACAGACACATTTGAAAGTTGAAACGTAATAATAAATCAGAATTCTTGCTAGTGCAACAAGTGGTCTTCCGACCGACTTTTCTTTAGAGGTCTATGAAGGATATGGAGATAACAAACAGTATTCAACATCAAAGTCCATCAAACAATACAAAATAGTTGTAGAGCAAACACGGACCTCCGAAAAATCAGTGACGAGATCAGGTGACATGGAGGAGTGAGCATCCCGTGCTGACCAGTTACACCGCCGTGTGCTCCTTGTCATGATCAGGAAATAACGAAAAACTGCGCCGCCAACTCAGTGCACAAACAATGGAACAACAATCAATATAAAAAAAAAATGTCAGTCAGCATTTGACTCAATGATAAACTGTATTTGCTGACAAGGTCATTGTTTTTACCGTAGAACTTCCGAAATGATGACTTTGAACGAGACTATTAATACTCTTGTTTCATCAACATGCTTGTCAATAATTTACCTAGCTTCAAAAACTGTTCACACGTAGAGCATGCTCTTGCGTATCGAATCAGCTGAGATATATATCCTACGTATAAATGTGATGAACGTATATTGCTGCATAAGTAAGAGAAGTTGACGATAGAAAAGTTGAAGAAATTACGAATTATCAGATAGCTTGTTAGATTAACATTAGCGTCTTTTTCAACCAAAACAATCAAGCATTAAACAGATGTGTACGACTCTGTGGCATTTCCCATCTAAACCCCCCCCCCCCCAAGAAGACAATGTACCGACGAAGGAACGGAAATTACCATAATAATTGTTAATTCACGAAACGTCGTCGAAAAGAGAGCAAACACGGACCTCAGAAACATGAAAGTTAGGATCAGGTGCCATTGAGGAGTGAGCATCCCCTGCACACCGGTCACACCCGCCGTGTGCTCCTTGTCATGATCGGGAATTAACGAAAAAATCCGTCGTCAATTCATTGTATAAATAATTGACTAACAATCAGTGCATGTTCCAAAAACTTCGGTTGCCTTAATGATAAATTATATTTACTGACAAGGTCATAATATCGACCATAGAGGGTACAGCATCCCATGTCATAAATTTTAGAATGATTTTATTTTTCTCTTACGTTTATTTACAGCAGCTAATGATTATTAAAAAAAATATTCTCAAATTATCTCAATAATACAAATTTGAAATCGTCATAATTCTCCATACATATTATAAAAAATGGAAAAGTCATACGTAACTGAAATAAGACAGAAACAAAATATTGGAAACTCCGCTTGCAAGCGAGATTCGAACCATCGACCTTATGGACAAAGATTGAATCGGTGCAATATATGCACAAATCAAGATAATGAACATTAAAAAAAAATTATAAAACACTCTTTAATTTTATTTTTTCAGTCACATGCATAACCATTTTACTGAAACTTGCAGAATCTATCTATAAATAAAAATATATACATGTAAGAGGTCTTGATTAAAAGGATTATCACTTGAGAAAAAATTATAACAATATTTTACAGATTTTTTGGGACACAAACGGAATTGTAGCTATCAGCATATTAAACTTTATCTATCTGTTCGAAAGTTTTTTTTAATTAAAAAATATTGTTGGAATATCGCTTAATTTCTGTTGAACAATACAACAGCGCGTTGTGGATGCAAAATATTTTAATTTTTTAAATACATTTAGTAAAAATTTAACTGATAACATTTTATTAATATTTTGGACGATATAGGGTCGGTCAGCACTCGGCATTTTCCCGATGTTGTCCAAAGTATTCCGATCATTTGTGGAGCAAATCAGGCAGTACTCTTAAAAATGTTTCTATGGAAATGCATCCATTGTAGCTGTATTAATTGAGAAATATAGAAAGCATTTCCACAATTTTTCTAAGGGTTGCCGTATATCAGATTTCTTTGACACGATGAATTTTATGGCGTCGATGTACACGAAAACTTGTCCACTTCTATAAAGAAAATAGCGTATTTACATAAAATTTAATCAAACTTGCGGAAAATAAAATCAAATTAAGAAACGTGTTAAACAATAAAAATTAATCAATTACGCAGGATATATCATGAGTTGGTCAGAGTTTTCTTTACTTTTGTGATTACTCGGTTATCCCATGATCATCAAATTACTATAGTATTCAAATATACAAGCTAACGCCATAAAAAAAG